TTTATAGATTTTAGTTTTGTCTTTGTGACACGATATGTTTTCTTTAATTTCATTTAATTTAACCTGAAAAAATAGTGTTATTGAAATAATGGAAAATAATATGTACGTCTATGTTTAACACACGCCAACACATTTATTAATAATATAATTAAAAAAGAGATTATAAATTAATATAAACTCTTTTTTGTAAATTTGTAACACTAAATTTACTACCTCTAGTAGATGCCGTCACTTTATATTGAGTAATTTTTGTATTTGCTTTTATTCTATTTCGGTGATTTAAAATTTTTTCCATTTCATCGCGCCCTCTATTTGATTCTAGTTGATTATTTTGTCATTTTCTGAATTATGTCAAATCCTAATTAATTTATTGATAATTATTTGCTCATGTACCAGTGAATTAAGCCATATGGTAGTGTTATGATCATTTAAAAAGTAAATTTATTCAACATTTATCTTCAATCGATAAATAAGACGTCACTGTCAATGGCCACAAGATTTTGTGTTTAAAGCCATTAGTTCAAGTTCTTTCTGCCCTTTTTGGATACAGTAATAAAAACTATAGTTCAAAATATATTTATTTTGTTAGGATAACCATACCATGAAATATAATTCTTGTTAAGGTTCATTCAGAAATTGAGTTATTTGACAGTATAAATAAAATACCAAATTAGTTTAATATATACTGTAGTTTGTGTTTCTAAGATAATATGTGAATATTTCCTTATTAAAGAAATTGGTATTTAAATCCTTAGAACCGGTTATCAGATATATACACCATTCTTCTGAAGTGAATCTTTTCACTGAAGCAACTTCAGATAGCTAATAGGAACAAAATTAACTACATCAGTTATATCAACCATATCGCTAAAAAAAAGCTGGAATGAATTTTCTGTAACATTAGTAAGAAGAATTTGAAAAGAACCAAAATAATACCAGAAAGCAGGGTTGTATGTGAAACCTATAACATGCATTATCAAACTGTATACGTAAAACCTTAGCCTCCAATCATGAGTGTCATTAAAATAAATGCAGTAAATTTAAAATAAAAAGGGTTACTTAAATTAGGACTAACATTAGAAAATAAATTACTGCTTATTTCATACGAAAAATAAGCAATAAACAAAAGCACGTCCTAACTTATGATGTGCAGAAGCCTAGCAGGAATGCACAGGATTCGAGATTGTATAGCATAATAAAACTGTATTAAAGCTGTAAAGGAGTACTAGAAAACTTATTTTCAATGGTTTGTTCATATTGCCTATATCTAAAAGAAAACTTAAATACAATACCTCAGAATACAACTATCAAAATGTTCAGATTCAAAAGCAATTTTATAAAATTGCTATTTATAAACAGGAACTGAGAAAATAAAAAAGAGTATTGGAGTAGAAGTATGGCATTGAAATATTGAAAAAAATATAAATAAATCTTGCTACTAGCCTCATGTTCTTCCTTCTCCCTCATTACAACTTGAGCATTTTCTTCGATCTTTTTCTTTTCGTCTTGCAGTTTTAAAATCTGGTTTTGACACTTTTCAATATCAAGTTCCATAGAGCTGATTTGTTTTTTGGTCATTGCCACTTTTCTGAAATTTAAAATATATATTATGTACTAAATAAATCTATAAAACAGATTTTTGATTTTCTATTATAAGTACGTCGCATATAGAAAAGTTGTACAAAATGATTGGAGGAAACAATAATGTGTTTAGATAAAAGATTGAAGAAGTCAAAAACATTGAATGACGAAAGCTATAAAAAGCAATCAGTAAGGCTACTTTTAGGTTCAAAATCTGAAAGTGTTACCCACTCAAAGAAGGAATTATAAGATGTATAATTCTTATAAAATTATTAAAAATTTGGAGAGGACCACAAATAATTTCGACCTGAAATCCCATATAAACTTACATGATGAGAGGAAAGCATGCAATAAAGGAAAGCAAACCTAGAAAAGTCAAGATTTATGGTACATGATTAAATAAAACTTACTTTTCATTGTTAGTAGTAGCAACTTTTAGTGTCATAATTTGATTTTGAAATTTTGATATTTCTTTTTTCAAATTATTAATTTTTGTTTGTTCAAATTTGATCGAGCCAATCACCGAAGAGTTAATTTTTTCTAAAACTTCATTTAATTCTTCTTCAATCTGAAATTGTTCGAAGTACATTACAATAGAAAATTAATAATTTTTTATCTTTATTACATTTCCATCAGAAGTTAAGCCTTTATGTTGTACTTGTCTAATAATTTACTTTTTAATCAAAATATTTTATATACTTTATATAAACAAAAATATACAATACTTTTCGGCAATTTAAATATAAAACTGAGAAAAGTATTATTTTTTTTAATATATAAATAAAAAGCACATTTATAAAATTGATTTGAGACAAAAGCGGTAGCTATAGTCAGTATTATTATTATATATATATATATATATATATATATATACATAATATACTTATGTATTTATATGTGTATAAATAGAATAAAGTAAACCTTATTAACAACGTCTTGCTGTTCATCTAGTACTCTCTTCTTTTCAGCAACAATTATTTGAAGTGAAGAAACTTCATCTGGTACTTCTATTGTTTCTGAATTTTTAATTTCTTCTTTTAACTGTTGACATTCTTCCAATATAGGCTAAAATTGAAAGAACAATATTAGTAGAATGCATGTCAAATAATACAAATAACATTAAAAATAACTGCATTACCTTAATAACTTTCTTAATATCATTAAGTTTCATTCTATCTCTTGATAATGTTTGATTCAATGCATTTATCTGATCAGCAGCATTATCTTTTCTTCGAGTGATATCCCTCTTGATTTCTTCAAGTCTTTCACATTCACGCTGAATATCGTTCAAATTATATTTAGAAGTATTATATAATTGTGATTTCTTCAGCATTTGATTAGACATAATACCACGTCGAAATTTGTTCCCTCCCCCAGACATAGTGCCTAAAAGTAATAAATTATTTGTTTAGTAATGAAATTTAACTTAATTTTAAATACAAAAATCAAACCTGCTAATTCAATCAATTCGCCCTTAACTGTAACAACTCGGTGGCGGTTCCTGCCATAAGCCACCCGCGTTGCTTGATCCAAGTTAGAAGCAACCAATGTGTTTCTTGTCACATAATAAAATGCTGGTAATATTCTAGTATCATTTACGCGTATTAGATCAAACAAACGTGGTAGGTTTTCAGGACTGAAAAATATAATTTTTACTCAAAGAAACAAAGAAACTGGTATAAAATGATTCCTGATTCAAGCCCATGATTATATTTTTAGAGTTAAAATCAAATCAATATAAAAATCAAATTTTATATTACTTTCAACAGTGTATATTATAAAAAAGTGTATATTATGAAAAACCTTTCAAATCTTGCTTTAATATTATCCCAAAAGTGTTGTTGCTTATCTAAAGCAATAAATGTGGCTCTGCCAATATTATATTGTTTAAGAAGTTCAATGCATTTTTGTGCAGTTGTAATGTTTTCCACTAATATATTGTCCAAAGCTCCACATGCAGTTGATATTGCAATATCATATTTAACATCAATACTTCCCAAATCACCCAATCTACCAAATAGTCCATCTAGTTCTCCTTCATTGCTCTTTTTATGCAAAAAATCAAGAACTTTACTCCGAGATCTAGTAAAATCTATTTCTTTAAGTTCATTGAGTATATTCCTATTTTCTGAAACCTCTTTGTTATTCAATTCTTCTTGTTGTAAAATATCCTTAAGTTCAGATTGATATTTTGCAATTTGATTTGTAGATGATTGAATAATGTTTTCTAAATTCGTTATCAACAAATTTCTTTCTTCAAGCTGCATCATAGCATTTTCCAATCTGCTTTTTTTAGATTTTGCATTATTTTGTAATTGATTGCTTTTGTTTGTACTTACTTTTAATTTATGAATTAATTTATTATACTCATCATTTATTTCATGTAATTTATTCTTCTCTGGTTTTAATTTCAATTGCAAGCTGTTTTTTGCTTCTATAAGATGTGTAGAAACTTTTCCAATTTTCTTTTTACTTTGTTCTAATGCTTCAGCTTCCTTCTCATATTGAATATTCAAGAATTTTAATTTTTTTTCACATTCAGCAATTTCACTAGAGTATTTTGTGGATTTGCCATTAATTTGTCTTGGTTTATTTTAGACTCTTGCAGCTTCTTCATAAGGCTTTTTCTATTTACATTAACACTTCTACTTTCTTCACCTTTTTCAATATCATCTTTATTCAGTTTGTCAAAAGTCTTATCTAATTCATTGATTCTTGACAATATAAAATTAGTTTTATTTTTAAATGCTTCTATTTCATTTTCAAGTTTATTTTTAATATCTTCATTTGCATCAATTTTTTTTCTTTGTTCGGCTATTGTAGAATTAAGGGCTCTTTTTTTCTCTTCAAATTTGTTAAATGCACTTTGTGAAATCGATAATTGTTTTTGTAATAAAATATTTTTATAATTTGCTATTTTATTCTCAATTTGGAAAAACTCGACAGCATTATCTCTAGGTTTCCTACAATCTTCAAGTTGTTGACGTGCTATTTCAGCATTACTAATTTTTTCAGATTTGCTAACAATAAGTTCTTCAACCTTATTTTGAAGATTCTTTAACGCCGTCTTATATCGAGAAGTACCTATTATGTCTTCCATGTATTCAAGCATACCAACTTCATTTTCATTACGTCCCATACTTCGCATTAAAGCAATTTGTTCAACTTCTCCTTGCAGTATCAAAAATCTATTATGATTTAAATCAATACCAAGCTCCTTAAACAATTTAAAAATTGTTTTATATGGAACTTTCTCATTATTTAATTTATAAAAGCCACTATTATCTTTAAATATAGTTCTCGAAACTATTATTTCACTATTAGGAACATCTTGGCATTCTTCTTGATCCCGAATTACTTGTTTGTAATGAATACTGACTGAACAACTATCATTATTTTTATGAAGTGCAGACTCATGTATCAGAGCCGACAGTTTCTTTGATCTAATTTTATTAGCGCGTGAACCAAAAACAAACATTAGTGCATCAATAACATTACTTTTCCCACTGCCGTTTGGTCCAATAATTGATGTAAATCGTTCATGAAATGGTCCAAGAGTAACTTCTCCATAAAAACTTTTGAAATTTTTATTCACTATTTTCACCATTACCAGAGTTTTCCTAATATGATCAGGTGGTTTATAAGGGGGCGGTATATATATGTCTCCAAGGCGAATTGCTCCAGCTTCATCTTCATCAATTGTTTGGGAGTCCTCAATTGCAATTCCAGACATAATTTATTTAAACTTTCGTTTAATAGTTTAAGTTACCATAATTTGATAATTTACAAGTTTTGATGTTTTTTTATGTGAAATTTTCTATTCGAGAGATTTCCAATTTCATTTTTTGTATCACGAACAACATAACCCATATTAGTTAATGACATTTATCTCCGTTCTGTGTTTATGTTATTCTAATTGCATATCCATAGATAAAATACGATAGACACCAGACTCCATCACATTTTTGGTATCGTGATTTAAATTTGAGCGCTTGAATTTATCCATAGATAAAAGAAGAATATGAATTTATCATCCATTTCTATTATATATTTTCTATTATATATATATATATATATATATATATATATATATAAAGCCCTAGGGCATTGACGAAAATGCCGCCATGGAACATATACATGGTGATATAATATATACAAAAATAACAGTATACAATATATATATTTAGTATGCATGTAGTATGCAATACATTCAGTACACAATTGCCGTAATGTTTTTACACTCTTGTATACTTATAACTTTTAAAATATTAGACTGGTACACAGCAAAGACCAACACAAATTGCAAATATCAATAAGTTATGCAAGTTATTTTGCATGTGATTACTATGATTCTCTTTAATAGTTTCATTAATCCAATCTATATAATATTTATTGTCAAGTCGCAAGTCTCTCTGTGGCTCCAACGAACAATCATTTCCCCAGGATCTTATGCCAATCTAAAAATGAATATTATTATTTAATTAATCAAAATAAATAACTCCAATACCGCAAATGAATTAAATACAAAATTCACGACATATACGATTTTTTTAAATATTCTGTAATGAATTCCTTAAAACTCTCAAAACAATCCACTATACTCGTACATGTGTGATTGATTAATAATTAGACTAATTTAGTCATCAAATACGGTAAATCTTAATAATTTACCATAATTTAATTTTTAAATATATGCATGTATACAGAATGTATGATGTAATGATCGTTTTTGATTTGCGACAGATATTAGTTTGATTCAAAATATCTAACTGTAAGAATAACGGTTTCCGCTTTACAGGCGACGGTTCCGGAAATGTCGCACATGCGGTATTAATCACGCAGTGTCAATTGTCAATGCAATAATTCATATTTTTCAATTATTCACCTGTATATTTTCGCAAATTATGGGACTTCCAGATATGCCCTAAAAAGAAAATATATCAATAGCATACATCTTAAATTCAAATGTAATCATATATATTTTACATTTTTTCAAGAATATTTCAATATTTCAAGAATAATTGAAAATGAATTATTAATTTTTTTATTTTTTGAAAATTTCATCTAGTATTAAAAAAGTATGACAATGGATATATAATTTTTACTGTTTCCAAAATATTTTATTATCATGTGAAAAATCTTACTAACAAAACATTTGCTCTTGTTGTGAATTTTTTTTAGCTGTGTGCACATGACTCCATGATCAATCATAGACTTTAATGTATGCTTTAACATTAGTTCTGGTCTCATGAAAAACATGTTTTTAAATTTTCTACTACTATGTAAGTAATTCACATTACATTCATCAGAAAATAAAACTGTCATGTCACGCACCACGAAATTATTTTTTAAATCGGCTTCATTAAAATCGTTTCTGTAGAAAACTGCAAATTAAAAACAATTACTTTTATCATTGTATTGAAGATATTTTTATATCATAAGTAGGTCTGATGAACTATAAAATAGACTATTTATTTTGAAAATAGTGTGAATCCACATTGCCTTATTGTTTCGAGAAAATTATAAAGTTTAACATCTATTCTGCTATTAAATAAAAAAAAACTAGAAAAACTAAGTGTAGTAGTGTATATCTACGTTTTTACCGACATTTAATTTCATTAAATCAAACTTATTTTAGGCAAATTAAACAGTAACAAAATATATATTTCTTGGCTGCAAAAGAGAAACAGCTGGAGCTGTTCCATTTTCTAAATTATTAAAGTGGACTTACAATACTTTCGAAATATATATAATTATTGTTAGGGTCCAAATGTTGCATGTAGTTTTGAAATTCTTACTGTGATGTGGCATTCTGTAACCTTCATAATTTCCTGTTCGACATACTTTGTACAAACTTTTTAATTCTATATCATAATTGTAATTTGTTGGAAGGCTTATAGGTTTTCCTATTGAAGAATTGATTGAATCCACCAACTAAAAATATGATCTGGGCAATATATTCAGTAATTCTCAAAAGTTATTCTAGTAATTCACATACTATAATCACATAATATAATATACCCTGATTAAGCCAATATTATCTTTGAGATAGTCTTCAAAAAATAATTCGTTAGATACAGAAAAATTCGGGTGAATGAAAAACTTTTGGCAACGTTTTCTACGTGATTTAGTAATACTTTCTTCATATATCTGATTGTCAGGAACTTTGGTCATCACTCCGTAATTGAAATGATCATATTCTTCTTTTCTAAACAAAAATTATTATCATATTGCAATTTGTTAAAGCTCAAATACCTGTTCAAAGCTACAAAAAATAGGAAATCTCTAAAAAAAAAATAGATAACATATATCCACAAAATTCGGACTGAAAATTGTTACAATATTTGCATTGAACAATTAAAAGATTGTGTTTTTAAATAAATTTCAACAAATGATTGAGAAATTAAAAAAATAAACTAAGTAATTCTTAATGTATAGTATTTAGTTCGAAATGTGGAACAGTATGATTGTGTATGTGTATCGATACACATTATCGAATTATCAGATGAATGTTAAAAATATATTAAATCTGAATTAGTTTCATATCTTATGCTGAGTTCGAATTTTTTTCTTCGTGTTTTAGTAATTAAAATTTTACCGTGATCTTCCAATGCAATGCGCTGCCGTTAAAATCCATTTATTACTTATTATAGATCCATCGCAAATATGTGCCCAGAATCCCTTTAGTGGATCATAATGACGTGGTGAACGAATATTTATTTGTATAGAAACCTGTTAGCATTCAATAAAAATAAGTTCTTTAAATTTTATGAAAGGTTTTCGATTCTCGAAAACGCGTACAACTTGTACGCGACCCTGTTGCTGTAGAGTACAACAACTAGGTCGCGGTTTTCAAAATTTGCCATCCCAGCTTTAATAACATTTGTAATGAACTTGTCAATAGACGTTTATAAATTTTATTTTTAACAATAATTCATGTTCAGTATTTTTAATTATTTTCATAAAATAAATAAAACACGTGGTATATTATATACCACATATATTATATACCACATGGTGCGAAAATAAGGTAAATATCTTAAGGATTATGAAATTCTGGAAAAGGAAATAAATGAAGCAAAAGTTTTGGCTTTGTTAATATTATATAAGTTTTTGGATTGTTAAATTCAACTCCAGCGCACATTTGTATCCGGATATAAAATATATCGTTAAAATGAAATACAAATCAATTATGTACATGCATGTATATGTAAACGATTTTTTTTATTCCAAGTTCACTTTAATATGGTTGTATATGTTACTTTACGAACAAAATTATACTAATTAGTATACCTTTAAAGGTTACTAAATTTCTTTTCTCGATGTGTCTTAAGCCATGCACAGATCGTAATATTGAATGTATTTTATAACTGAAATGTCTTAATTAATACTAACATGTATTCATCAAGTAATCTATTAACCCCGCTTCTTACCACGTATGGAAATTCTGTAATATTAGTTGCGTCTTTTATTGCCCAGAGAGTAGATAGTAAGATGAGGCTTAAAAAAGTATTGGCCATGCTACGAGGTATTCCGTTTATCAATTATTATCAATATTATACTGAAAATGTCAGTACGACGTGGTTCATTTGTTTTTCTCGGTTGTTATAGCGAGAAAGTTCTTGAGAATGTAGATGCTGTCCATTAACGTAGGTAGGACAACGACAGCGGTAAAAAATGCGACGCCCCAGGACCATAATATTTAAGTACGTTCCTTAAGACTGTAATCTCTACCATCACAAAAAGTTTCATTAGAATAGCCAAAAAAAATGTTGAACGATTATTTACAAAGAAAAGTCTCAGCCAATCTTTACTAAAACCTAATCAGCATCAGTGAATCGTGAACGACTCTGCTGGTGACTATTTTGGACAAAATATCAAATCAAGAGACAAGATATTGGACAAAGTATCAAATACAGAGTTATCTCTGTAAAAAATGTATCTATAAAATTCATATTTTTTATTGGTTGAGTAATGTAGCTATTATTTCGTTAAATCCTTTTAAAATTAAAAATAGTAAATTGGATTGTTTGTCCTCTCGCCGTACGATTTTACCGCCTTTGGGGTAAAAAAAGACCAAGTGACAAATTTTTTAAAAACAGCAAAAAAAAAACACATTTTTACAGTGATAAATTAACTGGAGGTTGTACTAAAACCACGTATGAACACGGGGGATTCTAATATTGTCTAGGACTAAAACATAGTCAGATGGTTTTTTGTTTATTGTGTCTTATTGGTTGTTATGTTTTTCGTTTAGTTTTCACAATATAATTGCTCAAATTTACTTAGCCTTACCTTATGTATGTGTATTTTTTAAAAAAACAATACGCGTCTTTGACGTGAGTCAAAATTCGATCTTTCCTCGATGTTTTCTCGTCTAAACCGATGTTAAAATTTAAAAACTATAAAATGAAACTGGATAAGCGCTTGCGTTGATTAGTTTTTTTGAGACAATTGGTCGATCCGTTTCTTTACTATTGGCAGAAAAGTGCAAAAATTACCGTCCATGTTTTTGTAAAAAATTCTTAACCGTTTTTTATTTGATTGATATCATTTGGAAATAAATAGTTTCTGTCGAAGATCGGTCAAGTCGTTTCTTTTTCATAATAGATTGTCACATTTTTTGGCGATTTAAGTGAAACTTTGCATGGCGATAAATTTTCTACTCTAAATGAACGTACTAAACTATAATAAGGCCTGCGACAAGTGGTAATTACTTATGATAATTAAAGTTTGGATTATTTGGCCGCGCTTTCGAGGGATTCAAGGTATTCCCAGTGGATTTACAATATCACACATAATTGAAAACGAAGACATTAACTCGGAGTATTTTCTGAAGGCAAATTTTCAAAATTTAATAATTTTTATAATTGAACTAGTTGCCGTAGGATTTTAATGGTTTAGTATCCTTTTAGTGTGGTCTACTTTTAATTTTAACAAACGTCAAAAAAACTACTAATTTTCTCAAACTTTGATGAATTTTCAAAATTAAACTACTTGTCGTAAGGCCGTAATATTTCAATAAGTTGTATAAGATCATGATATATATCATCAAAAAAAGTTTCATAAAAATCGGCTCAAATATTTTTTTCAACGACGAAATACAAGCAAATGGCTCGGTAGATTTTCACCTAAAACTAATCAGTGTCATTCTCAACTAATATTTTCGAACAGTTTTTATTTTTTTAAAATCGAATCGGTACTTTGTGCTTAAATGTGAATGAAAAGTTTAAATCTTTTTTCCAAATTTCAAAGAAACGGCTCGGCCGATTGTCATCAAATGGTTTTTAAATGTCTGAAATCGGTCCAGACGTTTTTGAGCAATCGCCGATGAAAAGTCTAATTTTGACAAGTGCCAAAAAAACGATACTAATTTTTGCAAACTTTGACGAATTTTTAAAGCTAAACGAGTTGTCGTGTGGCCGTATTTGTATGATCTAGAAGACTATGGTATCTACCCGCAAAAATTTTTTTCAACACTTTATTACAAGAAAACGGCCAGGCCGATCTCTACCAGCAACTCATCAGCACGATTCCCAACCAATATCTTTCGAACGGTTTTTGAATTTTCAAAATCGATTCAGAACTGCGGGCTAAAACGTGGACGAAAATTTTTTCACTTTTCTGCTATTTACAAAGAAACGACTTGGCTGGTCGTCGCGCAAAATTGATAAACGCTAGTCCTCATCGCGATACATCGAATGTAATAATACATTTAAATACATTTAAATTTTCGAAATCGGTCCATCCGTTTTTGAGCAAACGCCGATTTTCAGCAAAAAATCTGTTCACACACACACACACACGCACACACATACACACACATACTTTCTCCAAAGAACTTTCTGCTTGTTTTGACAAAATAATTGCTTTTGAAAAAAATTTTGGCTTATTTTTTTTTCTAAACTTTTTTTTGTATATAGAAAATAATTCAGATTTTAATATTGATTCTGACTAAAGTTTAAAACTCATATACTTCAAATAAATAGTTTTAACTTTACAATTCAGTTTAAATAATTCTTATAAATATCAGACATTGTTACAATATTTATGATAATCTATTTGAAAAAATTTAATATTTCTCGAACATTTCGTTAAGGTACGGAAAGTTCCAGCAATTTGCCTTAAGGCACGATGCCATACACCCCACTAGTTTATATATATATTGATTAAGTCGTCTATTTACAGATGTTAGGATTACTGAAAGTTCTTGCATAAGGACCACTCACAATCAGTTTAATTTTTTGATTTTTGAATGAAATTTTGTTCCTGAACTGTAATAAAACATATATTCGCAATACGATTAGAAAATCCTTAAATTTTAGGGTTTTTGACTCCGTCATTCGTCTACAATCAGTTAAATATTCAAGTTATAAAATGTGTTTGGTAACAAAATACATAAATAAAATAATTATAAAGTAATTTTGTTGTTGAATTAGTGTTTTATCTAAGTCCTAAGACAGGCTTAGGGGGGGGTCATGACCCCCGTGACCCCCCCCTGGATCCACCACTGTTACTAACGTAAATATTTCAACGTATAAAACATAACGCATTATGTTGTAATAATTCATATTTGAATGAAGTATATTCTTTCTCAAAAAAAAAAAACAAATTTTGACCAATTTTGATTCGTACTTGTGGCAGGCTGATTCAAGAACACATAGATACAATTCATGGATATCATAATACTAACTGGACATAATTTACTTTTTTCAACGATATGTGACTTCAAGAATTTGTTTGGTTTATTTTGAAAGCTTAATTGTTCTCACTTTTTCAAAAATGTTATACAAAAATGCAGATATGCAAAATCAAGCAAAACTAGAAATATTTTTTAATTACAAGTTAGCAAGAATAACAGAAATAAAAGCTAATTTATAAACTTACTTACTCTCATTCCATCTTTAATATATTAAAGCCAATACATATTTGCATTAGAAAACTGTAACCATCATTAATATTTATATGATAAATATATATTTTTTCTTATTATTAATCACAATTTGTTTTTCAGCGTTGTAACACGATCCCTCAAAACTCTTCTTAATATTTTTCCCGTTGGGTTTTTTGGTATTTCGTCGATAAACTCTATGCCACCATGAAGTCTTTTAGCATAAGAAACCTTTCCTGTAAAACAGAAAATATAAACAAGAATTAAGTTAAAGTGGTATTGAATTGAAAAATATGCAATATTAACTAGGGATTTTGGGCAAAACATCACTATTGAAAATATTGTGCAATAATAACCATTGTACATTGGTTTAATATTGAAAAAAATCATAAGTATGGTTTTAAGATGAGACTGTTCATTCCACAATAAAAACAACTATATAAAATTAGTATTTTTGCTAATATCACATCATCAAATTGTTTTACGCAATTTTATAATATAATATAGACGCAATCAGTGAATATAAATGTATTCATTCAGTTTGTTCAGAGTAGATAAGCTTGAAATTAATAGAAACCATTATGATGGTTTTTGCAAAAATATCTACATATTTAATTAATCATTATCTGCATTTATTGTATTTTTGAAAAACAATATATCCAAAATCTCCATAATGAAGTAAAAGAATTTTATGCTCCGTAAATATAACAATAACTATATATAAATTGGGACAATTTAAATACCTGCAACAAAATCTATCAACTCTTTTTTTGAAGGTTTATTTTTTAAACTTGGAACTACAAACGCAAGAGGCAATTCTCCCACATCTTCGTTTGGCAATCCTATAACGGCGCAATCCATTACACCAGGATGAGTTAGAAGTAAGGCTTCCAATTCAGCCGGTGGTACCTTTTAGTAAAAAAAATTTCTATATAATTTACACATAATCCAGGTATCAAATGGAATAAAAAACGAAATGATCATTTGATTTTATGACTGTTGCATAAAGATTCATTGGATTTGATAAAAAGCAGGGTAAAATCTGGTTTGAATTAAGTTGTTATGAATTTGATTCAAACTATTTTTATATAACATATGTATATATATAGCGGGTTGTCAACACGCATCGCGGCTCGTCAACCCGCATCACATGTTACTGGACAGATTGGCCCATATAGTGACAGCACTGAGAAAAACAAAAGGAAATTCAAGTGTCAGATCGTATTTGGTTTTTGTTTCTCCCCGAGTAGTTTTTGCCAAAAAATGTATAATTCTTGAAACCTTTCTTTTCTATTATAAATAAGAAAATACCAATAACGTTTTATGATCAGTATGACAACACATAGTGTCGTGGATATTAATCATATATAAAATATACGAAATATAAATAATATTTTATGAAATTTATCATTGTCTATCATTTTGGTATTAATATGGAGGACTACTACACCTCTACCTACTATAAATGGCTCACAACTTCCATAACTCGCATTCTAAGCATACAATTGAGACTCTGACCACGAGAGAGCACTTCAAGATAAACAACAACACGTGCTCAATAAATCACTTATTATCCTGGTAAATAAGTCGATTATAAGCACCATGGCAACAGACAGGGAACATCAAACCAATTTGGCAACCGCCATATATAATCAACCGCTAACTCACCAGCGAAGGGCCACATACACTCAACCGCTAACTCACCAGCGAAGGGCCACATACAATCAACCGCTAACTCACCAGCGAAGGGCCACATACACTCAACCGCTAACTCACCAGCGAAGTGTCAAATATACTCAGCCGCTACTCACCAGCGAAGGGCCACATCTACTCAACCGCTAACTCACCAGCGAAGGGCCACGTAAGCAATCAACAAACTCAACAAGCCAACACGGCATTCAAAACGGCCACGGCCACAAACAAATAAAATTTATCACACAATCTCAACCAAAAGAAATTTACAAGGAAGTTCAAGAATGGCAGTCAGAGATACGAAACAATCTTTTTCATTAGGGCGGAGTGATATAGCGGGTTGTCAACACGCATCGCGGCTCGTCAACACGCATCACATGGCCCATATAGTGACAGCACTGAGAAAAACAAAAGGAAATTCAAGTGTCAGATCGTATTTGGTTTTTGTTTCTCCCCGAGTAGTTTTTGCCAAAAAATGTATAATTCTTGAAACCTTTCTTTTCTATTATAAATAAGAAAATACCAATAACGTTTTATGATCAGTATGACAACACATAGTGTCGTGGATATTAATCATATATAAAATATACGAAATATAAATAATATTTTATGAAATTTATCATTGTCTATCATTTTGGTATTAATATGGAGGACTACTACACCTCTAATTAATATGGAGGACTACTACACCTCCATATATATATACACATATGTATATATATATATATATACCCAGTAAACATGCGATATGGCCACAACATCGTGGCAATATTTTATTTAGGTCGTGTGACATGCGGTTCCCATATTCATTGTCCTCGATATTTAATGGATACGGCCGCAAATTTATGTAACTATCGAACAACTATCGAGGTTCGGTCTCTGGCGCACGTGGCGTTCGTGATACATGAAAATCGACGTTGACCCACATATGTTTGTTTATTATGATAAGACCGTCTGACGTAAGGCGTTCACCCCAGTCATGACGTCATTGGCGAATGAAAACGATTCGGTCATGACGTCATACAAAATGGCGACTCATGACGTAATAGCACCTGAAAGTGATGACGTAATGCAATTAATATTCTTTTCTGTACGAATAAGCATTTATTTACGTGAATAATAAGAAATTTTACAATATTTAAATATTACAAATTAGAATTGTAGTTTTGAAATTATAAAATTTTAACATGAACTATACTAGAAAACTTTTTACAAATTATTCAATCTTAACATATTAATAACAGTATATTTAATGAAAATTGTTGTATATCTAATGAACGTAATTCTATTTTTGGGGCGTGAAGTGTGAAGTGTTGCATAAGTATTCTATCGCCACTTCCTTATACATCAAACAGCCTGCCTATTTTTCATTATTTCATTCTATCGCCAGTTCATTGCATCAAATGCCAGGATACAGATTATGCACATATGACATACTGCCCCAAATTTTGGAAGTTTTCTAAAACAAATTCAAACATAATGTGATTTACTGTATATAATATAATATATATATACAGCTACCATATGTGTAGCTACCTACATGTTCAGTGTACAAATCTCCATCATCTTAAAGTCGCTTTTACACATACATTTTTAACACTGACTGATTTCATTCTATCGCCAGTTCATTACATCAAATGCGAGGATACAGGATATTCATATATGATGTACTTCTTGGAAGTTTTCTAAAACAATTTGAAACATAATGTGTTTTATTGAATCTAATAATATATATACCACTCCATATGTGTAGCAACTTACATATTCAGGAGACAAATCTAAATCGTCTTCGAGTCGCTTTTGCACATACATTTTTTTTAACCTGATTGAATTCATTATATCTTCAGTTCATTATACATCAATACATCAATCAAGTTCATGCATATATGACATACTGTTCCCAATTTTAGAGGTTTTCTAAAACAATTATAAATATAATGTATTTGTTACCAAATAATATATATACAGCAACTATATATGAATCAACTTACATATTAAGAAGATAAATCTCCATTATCTTCAAGTTGCTCCTAAACATACATTATTTGAGCCTGTCTAAAGATCTGTATATTGTTCATCGTTTCATTCCAATTTTGTACGACTTCTGAAATAAATATGAACATGGCATACGTGTTTGCTGTTTATATATATTTGTATAGCTATTATATTTGTAGTGACTTACATATTCAAACAATCATTCTCGATCCGCTTCTCAACCGACTAATTTAAGAGATTTAAGAAGTGAGGTTATGTCGAACACATGGATATGTTAATGTCTTAATTTAGTAAAATAATTATTTTAACCTTGATAAACGATCCTTATTATTGTCCTCAGATTTTGTAAGATATGCTATTTGGTTACCTCCTTTGTCATCTAAAGAAATCGACATAAAATAACGTTTCTTCATCCCAGGATATAATGCACTAAATGGAATTCAAAATCGTGAAGTAATTACATATCTATATAAATAATATATGATATACTTACGGTGTCATTTTTCTACACTTTTCAACAATTATCACTATAAACAAGTTGCTTAACTAAACGAATGTAATTATTATACAAAAGAAAATATAACTTGATACATGACAAATTCCTGACATATTGCGCCATTTTGTACGCGGTTAGGATAGCTTTCGTCAAAGGAACAGTCAACCCGCTTGAGTCGGTTCAGCCAGTGGCCACAGCGCGCTGATGTAAAGCTTTCTTTGTATGGTCACACACACCAGCACACAACGCACACAACGCAGCGCACGACGCGTTTGCTTCACGCCGTGTGACGTCATTGATTATGCTTTGCATGTGTGCTAACACACACCAGCGCACAACATGTATCTCACATGAAATGCAACGATGTCATTACCCCCGACAGCGCGTGTTTATGTCACTCAATGCGAGCTTTGCGTGTATTGTAACACACACAAGCGCACGCAAGTTTAAAATCCTCTTGTGGCGTAGATTCGATAACCGCATTATAATAACGATGTCGATATTATAGAAGATCACATCGCGTGTTTACTGGGTATATATATATATATATATATGTGTGTGTACATTTATATGTATTGAATGACAACAGGTAAAATTACAATTTAATTTCATATTGTAATAAATCAGCTCCATCATATAATGCATTATATAATATACATACCTGAAACCCTTTATATTTAATTAACTCTTTCAGCCGATCGACTACAAAAAAATGTTCATCTTCATCATAATAACCAATATCACCCGTATGAAGCCAGCCATCTTTATCTATCATACCAGCTGTTGCACCTGGGTTGCCAATATAGCCTTTCATCATCAAGTCACCTTTAAAACATAATTCCCCTTGCTGGTTTGGACCCAGTGCTTTTCCACTTTCAATGTCAATAACCTTTTAACATATATATATATATATATATATATATATATATATATATATATATTAACAAAGTCTAATGAAGTTTACATCTTCAACCAGTCTACGAGTAACACACTATCCATTTGTGATTTTTTCAAATCAGTATTTTGTGAAAATATTGTGTAAATTCAAGTTAATGTTTATAATACATAGTGTAGTGCATTACCATATCCTAATACCATAGATTATTAAAATTTTCCAATTTAACACTAAGATCAACTAATTTTTCCACTGAATGAAGGCTAGGATTATAGCCGAAACGTATGGATTTAAAATAAATTTTTGAAAGAAATTCATGTTTTTTATTGATGTTATGCCCGATTATTAGACTTTGTTAATACATATGTCAACATCAAATTCAGAATCATACAAAATATATATATATATATATATATATATATATATATATATATACGAGGTGTGTTCAAAAAGTACCCGGAATTACTAATAATTAAATTTCGCGGGTCTGGAGTGTCTGATTGTCAAAATTTTTTTTTTATTGTGTTGGTATACATGCCCCTAAAGTATGATAAATTTTCAGCTATATTCACTGTTTACTTTGTCTGTGGTAGTCGCTAAGGTTCGACGTGTTTTTCTGAGCTCGGCGATTTTTACAATGGAAGAATTGAAAAGTCAAAGAATTTGTATTAAATTTTGCGTAAAAAATGAAATAAAGTGTTGCAAAGTGCAAAAATTCACCAGATATGGCTCCGTGTGACTTTGTCCTATTCCCAAAGTTGAAGAGACCCATGAAAGGACGGCGGTTTTCCTCGATTGAAGAAAATCGCTGAGAGTGCTCAAGGACATATCAAAAAGTGAATACCAAGGGTGCTTCGAAAATTGGAAAAAACGCTGGCATAAGTGTATTATATCTGGGGGGGACTACTTTGAAGGGGACCACATTAATGTAGACGAATAAATAAATATTTTTTGGAAAAAACGAAAATTCCGGGTACTTTTTGAACAGACCTCGTATATATATATATATATATATATATATATATATATATATATATTGCATCCATCCAATAATTAAAACAAATTTAAAGAAAAATGCCCTTATCATACTATCAAACGTTGACCTGACCCATATTCAGTGCTACATTAAAAATTTACAAGATCTTATATATATTTTAAAAATACTGTAATATGAAGCTAAAGATTGTAGTCATTCATTCAGCGCCACTAATTTTGAATAATTTTCTATCTAATGCTCAAAACTCTCTTAACGCTCAAATTATCATTGCAAAAATGAATTAACTAGCTTCAACTTTTCGATTTTTGAAAAAATATTCTAAAGAATTAAATAACAAACAAATTATGCGTAATTTGAAAGTAGAGATGATTTTTAATTCGAAAAATATAACAACTACATTATTTAAAAATTTTCATGATAGAAATCATTATTGAAATAGTACTATAGTACTAATATAGAATCTCATTATGTTTCAAATATCATATTAATAATTGCTGAATATCAAACAAATCACACTTTAAAACATTTAAATACTAACCTTGGCGGACGTACCAGGCGCAAGAACGCCGCAGCTGCCATATTTATTACCAGATTCTAAAGTTTGTGAAAGTACAGCTAATGTTGTTTCAGTTAGACCATATCCTTGTTGAACAGTACAATTAAACCTATTTGCAAAATGTTAAATATGCAAATCTTGAAAATTCCAGAATGTCAATATTTGTATAACTTGTATGTTGTATCTTTAAATACTAAATTTTTCTAAATTTCTAAAATTTTATTTTCTTGCAAATATTCTAAAGTCAATAACATTACTAAAGTCCTATTTTATTAATATTGAAACAGTTAAGAATTATGTTCAGAAAATAAAAGCCAAATTAAAGAAATCTTGAAACTGAATCATTTCAAATTTCAAATATTGCAAATTTTTTAAAAAAAATTTAAAACAATTCATTCAGCACTTAGACTTCAACTTTGTGTGACTCAAATTCATAATTAGTTTTAAATGTTTGAACTACTGGTAGCTTGGTGTTACAATTGTGTTAATTAATGTAGTGTAGTGTTAAATAGTTTTTGTCTGTAAGTACCTATCTTTAAGTCTAATATATATAAAAACCCAAAACGAGTACAAATTGAAATCAATCTAAATTTCAGAATAATATTCTATTAATTAAAATATCTTACTTGGTAGAAACTTCATCTTGTAACTCTTTACTTAAAGGAGCCGCCCCACACATGATCCTTCTTACACTGCTCAGGTCATATTTTTGCACTAATGGATCTTTTGTTAAGAAAACCAATAAAGGCGGTACAGTAAAAAGAAACGTGACCTGAAAATAATAATATTCCAAAGGTATGTGTTATAAAAAAGTATAGTTAATAAAAAATGTGGGCATGTGTATGTCATGAAATTACACAAGCTCAGTTTTTGGACATATATATATATATATATATATATATATATATATTTATATATATATTTATTAACAAAGTCTAATATATATTTCTATAAAAGTCTATATATATTTATATATATATATATATATGTATATATATATATCTATGTGTGTGTGTGTGTGTGTGTGGGTGTATATAAAGATATTTTGGTGTTGGTCCAGTTGAATTATGAGCCAAGTCTGTGCTATACAAACTGTGGTGTGTGCATAGTAATTACACACATTGTGCACTGATAAGTATATGATAATGTATTTATAAAGAAGACAAAGTTTTTGAGGTGTACAGAGGTAATGTAAAAGACTTATGTGAAAAATCTATAAATCAATTCAGGAAAATTTAACATAAAATTTACCACTGTCTTTCCACAATGCAGTGGCCAAATTTGCTATATCCAATTTGTTCATATATCCTAAATCATTTTATCACCAATCCGCATTCTCTTCATTTTGTGGCAGAGATTACAAATGACTACATCAAAAGCTACCTTTAAAAAATTGTTATAACTAAATGGAAATTGTGAAAAAAAAGATATTTCATGAGTGCTGCCTATTGTAATAAATAGGTGCAATTAATCTGCAATGAACTAATAATCTAGACAAGTATTGGACACACAGATATTACTTTTCTACATTGAATGTAAGTTTCAATATATTTTATAATCTTAAATAGTAAATTTGCTTCCTATGCCTTTTTAAAAGGCATTGAGTAAAAAATAATTATAAAATAGTAATAATAATGTATAAACAAACCAACCTTATGATTTTGAATACTCTCGAGAAACAACACGTTATCAAATCGTGGTAATACAACCATTGTCCCACCAAAAGCAGTTATTGTCATAGAAGTTACAAAACCAAAGCATGAAACCATGGTATGATTGCCAAAACTCGAACTGCGTCTTCAATAGTTGATGCTCGATGCCTTTGGGAAAAAAATAAATGTTGTAAACATTTTGTTTAATTATATAATATCATTTATTATTTACATCCAATGTGCAAGGCTGACTATCAAATTGTGATGAGTAAGTTCAACTCCTTTTGGTAATCCAGTAGTACCCGAAGAACACAAAATGGCAGCAGTATGAAATTTTACATTAACTGGTGTAACAAAGAAGTCTTCATTTTTAATAAAATTACTTTGAAATTTTTCTTGAAATTGTACTATAGTAATAACATTTTCTTCTTCAGATTCTTCACCATCAAAAACAATTATATACTGAAATTTAGCATACATATAATACAGTATATAAAGATATTTTTTGATATTATCAAAAGAGAATATAAATAAACAAAGTTAAAATTAACTGTTGTTCATTACAAATTAATAGCATTTATCATGATTTTTCGCGGTAGTTCCTATCAATGTGTAAAATTTCTTTTGTATTACGCACCTTCAGAAATGGACACTTAGGTGCTACTTGGAGTATATTGTAAACCAAATATGATGAAGCAAATACAATTTTTGGTTTCGATAAACTATATGCATGTTGAAGTTCATCTAAAAAATAATTTTGTATATATTAAGTATTTTAAATAGGATACTACAAACATAAAAATATTCTAACCAGGTGAGTATGTAATATTTGTAGGAGCAACTGCGGCTCCCACACATAGAGCTGACAATGCTACTACTGTGAATTCCACTCGATTTTCACAACTGATGGACACTGCATCCCCTGAAGTGACACCAGCTGAACGCAGTGCAGATGTTAGCTTATGAACTCTATTCAATAATTGACCTCCAGTAGTTTCCACATTTGTCAATGCACACACCTTCAAAATAATATTTGTCAGTTCCAAACAAATTTAATATTAATTTGACATTCTAATAAAATACAATACCTGCAAAGTAGTGTTATAGTGGCGTTTTAGAGAATCAATCATTAATTCTGCAAAAGAGTTGCAACTTGGTGGCAAAACATCTTCTTTTGGCCCATTTACAATGAATTCCTCCATATTTATCACTGTTAATTAAATTTTGGCTTTGATATTCTTTAATGCTAAGTCAAGATTGAATTATCTTCAGAAAATTTTACTGCGCGGATGACCTATGGAACTGATCAAAGTACTTGTACCAGGTAAACAATTCGATCGGTTAACATACATGCTAGTCTGTTTGAACCGCAGGTCACCTCTTCTCTAAAAAATAATCTTTTCTTGCGATAATGATATTGTTTTATACATATCAAGTATACGCGGTAAATACTTAGTTTATTCTTTTTTTATTCTTTTTAAAAAAAAATTTATCCATGGAAAAATTATAGGGGGATAATCAATTTATATTGATAACCAATCATCCATTTAGAAAGATTTTAATCATAAATTTTAATCATTTGAAATTAAACAGATTTATGCATACATATATAGATAGGCAAATATTTAAGTATATTTGGCCCAATCTGACAGATGCATCTTACAATATGAAGTTGCGTATATTGGAAATCCATGTATGTGACAAAAACGTTTAAAACCATGCATGTGAAAAATCTTAAAATCAAGTGGGTTCTGGGTTTTCACCTTAGACAATATTATTAATAATATATTAGAATTTAATGTATTCATTTTCACCTCAAACCGTTTTATCCATATGAATGTTGATGGTACATGCATATCATCATAGATAAAAGAAGAGTATTACTTTCTTTACCCAAAATGTATACCAACGGTTTATAATGAAACTGGAAATATCTCATAGATTTTTTATCAAATCCCTTTTTTGCGAGCTCTTTCATTTAAATTGCATGCCAATATGCAAGATTATTTCATTTACTTGCAGAATAATTTTTACAAAGAGTTTATCAAGTTAGAATATATTACACACTTGGAATCAACCATTTATCCTAATACATATGTATTTATTTATTTAATTTCATCATGCAATTGATCTAAAGTATAACAATTTATTGACGCAGTTTTCCTATTTTAATCTCCAAACTAAATCATGAGTTGCTAAATACTATCGCCGTTATTATGATAACGATAGCAAAACCACCAGAAAACCTTAAAACCCGAAATCCGAAAATTTAATTTGTTATTCTCTTATATATATATATATATATATATATATATATATATATATATATAGATAGATATTAAAGAATTCATCTGAAAGATAAAAATTAAATGAACTTTTTTAATTTACTTAACCACCTTATTTTTTTGGTCATTTAGTACTTAGTTTTAAGTCTATATTATTAATTCAGTAAAATTAGCCATAATATTAGCTCGAGCTAGATAGATATATCTAAACTTATAAGTTTAGATCTAAATCTAAACTTAAAACTATATTAATTATTACTTATATCAAAATTGCAGTTGCAGTCATTTTCAGATGAACAATAAAAATATATAAAACGAAAAGAAATTTTATTTTATTAAAATCTAAAAAATGACAAGGTGTATTACAGAGATTTATGAAAATATATCAAGTACAAAATGTTTGTTATCATGGGGGAGGAATTACTTTCTTCTTTAAGTTCTTTAGGTAAAGATAGTCTTGATCATATAAAATAATTATAATATTTTTTATTACAAAAAATATATTTTGAATATAATAACAAATTATATAATTATAAGAACATTTAAAAAAATGTGTTAACAATATTGTATTCTATATATATATATATATATATATTAGGTATTAAGATAAAGAATTTGAAACGATTTCAAACTGTGTTTCAAACATTCAAACATATTATAATGAAATATAGAATGAATAAGCATATATGGCCATGTAAATTTTTAATGGTAAGCACAATTAAAATGTTTTAACAAAGTAAGTTAATTTAGTAAATTGATAATAAATACAAACCTAATATCTCTTCTGAAATTAATATCGATATAACCATCATTACTATTTTTATCGAAACTATAAAATCCAATGTGTCCTTTATATTTTTATTAGGCTTAATAACAAAATGAGATCACATCAATACAAAATCAGATCAAGTGTTATAAAATCAGACACTTTCAGAGTATAAAAAGTGTGTATAAAAGAAATTGATTGATAATATGCTTTGGTTTGCCTCAAAATTTAATGTTTTTTTTAATGACAGCATAAATGGGTCATTAAATTTAAGAATATAACTGAGTGGCAACTATGTTTATTGTAAGCGGTTAAATTATTGAAATATCTCAAATTATTATTCCACCAATATCTATTATATCTCAATTCTTTAAATATCTTTCAGAATCTTTCAGTGGGTTTTATTGCAGAATTCAGGATTCGAAATAATAATACTGCACCATCCAGTATTATTTTTGCTTTGCATTGATATTTCCTTTATTATATTGCTTATGACAAATCGTACAGTTTTATTTAGTACCATCTTTTAGCAATTTATTGTATTTAAATTTCAAAAATATAGATATTTCATAACATCATGAACAGAACTGATTTATATGCTCTATGTGTTTTTTTCCTTATTTGATTGCATAAAATACGACCATTTACACTTATATTGTATATATTACTTTCAATTTAAAATAAATTTTGTCAAACTTTATTGAATTTTTTGTCCAAGCTTTAAAGGACCCCTTATTTCTTTCTTACAAGCAGGTTTGCGTTGTTTTTGTAACTTTCTTTTTTCACTAATATTGGAATTGTCTTCAATTATATCATCTATAAAAAAATTGAAAACATTAATTAAACGTTTTTATTCATTTATTGAAGAAAGTTGTAATAAGCTATAGTAATAACATACTAATATTTGATCTTTTTACCACCTAAGCTAATATTGTTAAATTTATCAAAATTTTGTTAATTGATTCCAATAACTTCAGAAATATAACTAGAGAAAATTGTGCTATGGCAACATGCCTTTATAAAAAAAAACTTAAATATTTGGAAACTTACCAGAAGAATGTTTTTCTGTTCGGTCAGAATCCCCCTCAGTCCATTTTCCTGAAGACCAATTATTCAAATTGTCATCACTTTTTTTATCCTGAATTTAAATAAATTATGTAGTTATGTATATTATAATAGCAATACCATGCTTTTTAAACACTACAAAACAAATAAATAAAACAAAAACATGCAAATCAAAGATATAGCGCCTGATTATTATATATCTGAAATATTACTTATTCTCGGATATATATCCGATTTGAAACTATTTTGAATAATGTATAGTAGAACGTAATTGCATCTAATTAAAACGTCAAGAAAATTCGAGAACAGTAATTTCCAATACCAAATAATTAATTCAAAATATTTTCTTTAAATATTGCTAAATAATTTTTTACTAACGATTTCAGGTTCATCTTCAATACAACCCCATTCGGAGGTGTCCCAACCATCTTCTGCATCTACTGGTAATGTAGTCATTGATAGTTTTCCAACTGATGGATTATTGGATGAAAATGAAGTATTTTCTGAATTCTAAAAAATAAAACTCACTACAGTTCTAGATAATAATAAATAATTGTATATATTAAAACAATGTATATATATATATATATATATATATATATATATATTATATATAGATATATATATATATATATATATATATATATATATTTGTAATATTTTTGCAGCCCAACCGTCGAATTAAAAAAAGATTAAATAACAAAATTATTTATTCCATTAAACGTTTCGACACTTGATGTGTATCATCATTCAGTAATCTAAAAAAACATTTAACATAAATACTTATAATATTTATATATATATATATATATATATATATATATATATGCCATAAAATATTTAATTTATGGTAATAATGACTACTATATAAAATTAGTTATAGAAACAGTAGTTGTAACTAATATCATAATCAAATTGCAAAGCATCGTAATCATTTTGATAATTATATTAATGCCGTCTGTACATATTTTCATGTCATTTTTAAGAGAAAATTAGTAAATACTAATTTAATATTAGTTGCTTAAATTTTATTTTTTCTTATTTAACGTTTATTTGACTTTTTATTTTTCAAAATCAATATTAATGTTTCAACTAGATATATATTGGTTTCTTCATCTGAATAAATTATAATTAAAATTATACCAGTAATCCTCAATCGAATCTTTTTTAGTTAGTATCGCGCCGGTTTCAAATATGTATTAACGGTGGAATAAATAAATAAATAATTAAATATATATAATATATATATATATATATTTGGATTCTTTTATTATATTTTATATTTTATATGCGTTTTTATCTCATATTTTTACTCTGCCAGATTGACTAATAAGGATGTTTTAGTTTTGCTCGACTTATTGACTGAAACATATATATAAAACATATAAATATTGTATAAGAAGCTGAACAAACTATAATCAAATGTTTAATACATTTTTAAATTAACAAACTTTCAAATATTTAAAATTCTAGTGCTATGATTCATCACAAACCTCCATGCAATCCCAGCCGGTAGAATCCCAGTTTTCATTTGTGGAATCGCTGCTATCCTTTCCTACGTTCTCTAAAGGAGTGACTAAAATAGTAGTATTTGGTAAATTTTCACCTTTATCACCTTTGTGTTCATCTGAAAA